TGTACACTTCTGAAGACTTCAGGAGAAACTAAGAGGATTTTTTCCTAAAATCTTCTGTGAGGCCCAAGTTATCCAAACACAGCACAGACATTACTGAAAAAGGAAAATACAGACGAATATCCCTGATGAACATTGATGCAAAGACCTTAAGAGAATTAGTGAGTCAAATTGAACAACATGTCAAAAGGATCACGCACCATAATCAGATGGCATTCATTCTGGGATACAAGGATGGTTTGGTATGTGTAAATCAACGAATATAAGCAAAGATATTAATGTAATCATATTAATATATGATAGTGCAATTTTCTTAGGAGATTCACCTGCATCTCAATCTAAGATGTGTACTGTCTCTCACTGCCTACTCATAGTTCTATGTATATGCTATCTTATTTCATTAAAAAAAATAAAAGAAAAAACATATCATTATCAATGATCATAAAGGAAAATTGTAACAAAATTCAACACTCATTCATGGTCAACTTTTTCTTTTGTTCTTGGGCAACACCCAGCAGTGCTCAGGAGTTACTCCTGGCTCTGCACTCATGAATCACTCTTGGTGTTGCTTAGGGGATCATATGGGCTGCTAGGGATCGAACCCTGCCTGGCTGCACATAAGGCAAGGGCCCTACCTGCTGAACCATTGCTCTGGCCCCACGTGAAGTAAAAAAAAAAGAGAAGCAATTTCCCTTAATATTAAAAAGATCCCATACAACAAAACCAGTTAATTCTCAGTGGTAAAAAAACTGAGAACCTTCTTTATTCTGACACAAGACAAGGATGCCCATTTTCATCACTGTTATTCAGGATAGTATTGGAAGTTCTAGCCACAGCATTTAGGCAAGTAAACAAAATCAAAGAGTGGAAAATAAGTTAAACTATCATTATTTGATACAATGAAATACATAGAAGACCCCAAGACTGCACCAAAAATCTTTTTTTTTAAAAAAATAAGAAAAGCAATAGAGAAAAGTGGCAGGCAAAAAAATCAAACACAGAATTCTACTGCATTTCTATTGTAAACAACAAGCTAGAAAAGAAATAAATCATTTTCAATTGTGTCAAAAACCACCAAGTATCTAGAAATCACCAGGAGTGATTCCTGAGTGCAGAGCCAGGAGTAAGCTTGAGCACTGAGGTGTGTGGTTCAAAAACCAAAGGACAAAAAATAGAAGAAAGGAAAAATATTTCATGATTAAAATGTCCATTCTACCCAAAGTTTTATACTGATACAATGTAATTCCTATCAAAATTCCAATGACATTCTTTAAGGACATAAAACAGATCATAATAAAGTTTGCATGGAACCATAAAAATGCCCCAAAACCCAAAGCAATTCTGAAAAGGAACAACAGCAAAAAAAGTGGCAAGCCTTTCAGTCCCTGATTTTAAAATAAATCTATAGTAATCAAAACACGTAGTACTGGAATAAAATTAGATTCTCAGACCAATGGATTAGAACAGAAAGTCTAGAAGTAAACTATCAGATGTATGGGTACATAATTAATAACAAGGGAATTAGGTTCATTAAGTAGAAGAAAAGCCTCTTCAACAAACGATATTGGGGAAACTGGGTTAGGCACATGCAAAAAAATGAAACTCGATCCTTATCTCATAGTACATGAAAGGTTAACTCATAATACACTGTACTACCATAGCACTGTCCTCCCGTTCACTGATTTGCTTGAGCAGGCATCTCCAAGCAGTAGGGCGTCTGCCTTGCTCGCAGCCAACATGGCCGACCCGAGTTCGATTCCTCTGCCCCTCTCGGAGAGCCCGGCAAGCTACCGAGAGTCTCTCGCCCGCCCGGCAGAGCCTGGCAAGCTCCCCGTGACGTATTCGATATGCCAGACACAGTAACAACGAAGTCTCCAATGGAGACGTTACTGGGCCTGCTCGAGCAAATCGATGAACAACGGGAGGGCCTTTACCTTTTTACCTTTTAAATACGCCACGGGGAGCTTGCCAGGCTCTGCGGGTGAGATACTCTCGGTAGCTTGCCAGGCTCTCCAAGAGTGATGAAGGAATCGAACCCAGGTCGGCCGTGTGCAAGGCAAACGCCCTACCCACTGTGCTATTGCTCCAACATAATGGATTATGACCTCAATAGTAAAGTAAAGTAAAGGCCCTCCCATTGATCATCGATTTGCTCGAGCGGGCCCAGTAACGTCTCCATTGGAGACTTTGTTACTACTGTGTCTGGCATATGGAATACGTCACGGGGAGCTTGCCAGGCTCTGCCATGCGGGCGAGATACTCTCAGTAGCTTGCCGGGCTCTCCGAGAGGGGCGGAGGAATCGAACTCGGGTCGGCCATGTTGGCTGCGTGCAAGACTAACGCCCTACCGCTGTGCTATCGCTCCAGCCCAGCTAGAATACAAAGCTATCACTCCAGCTAGAACACAAAGCTATATGAAAATAGGCAGAACCATCCAGGGTATCAGTCAACTTCAGAGCTGTCTTTTTTTTTTTTTCTTTTTGGGTCACACCCAGCGATACTCAGGGGTTACTCCTGGCTCTGCCCTCAGGAATTACTCCTGATGGTGCTGGGGGTTACCATATGAGATGCTGGGAATCGAATCCAGGTTGGTCGCATGCAAGGCAAACACCATACCCGCTGTACAATCGCTCTGGCCCTCAAAGCTGTCTTTAAGGATTCAACTCCACTAGCAAAGAAAGTAAAACCAAAAATACTATATCCAATTAGCTTCTGTAGTGCAAAAGAATGGCTAAAATGAAAGACACCCTGCTGTATAGGAGAGAATATCGCATATTCTATGTCTGACAAAAGGCAATATCCAAGATACATAAAATAAACAATCTCATCAGAAACGGTGAGAGTTGCTGGACAGACATTTCCTCAAAGGAAATACACAGATGGCCAGTAGGCATATAAAAAGTGCTTCTCACTTATTACTGGGGAAATACTAGTGTCACCTCACACCAGTAACTTCGGCCGATATTAAAAGGACTGATGGGGGGTATGATGCCGCCGTTAGGTCAATCTGTACCTGTGAGGCGAGTGCATCAGCAGCCTGATGGTGCCTCCAGACTTCTAGATACCCCCAAATTGCTGCTGTGCCTTTGGCCAGACCCCAACAACTTGGGGCCTAGTTTACCAAGAAAGTAAACAGCCAAAACTTGGTGGTATGTGGGAGACACACCCACAATCCACCTCTGGCTCAGTTATATAATTGGAGGCAAGGCCTCTGTTTCCTGATCAAACTGCTAAATGGCCATGATCCCAGAGGCTCAGAAACAAATGTCTGAACCCACTGGCTTTTGGCAGAAATGTCTGGTCCCTGGAGTAGGTTAACGGTGCTGGGCCACCCCAGGTGAGAACAGGTTTAGTGCCTTGGCCTATTCCCCCTGGCGGTTCAGTGGCCGCCATCCTCCAGAGGCCATGACAAGTCAGGCTTGGGCCCGCAGTGACGAGACCCCAGGTCGCCACCCAGGAATGGCTCTCTGGCTCCTGATCAAGCTGTTTAATGGCCATGATCCCAGACTCAGGAACAAATCTCGGAACCCAGCAGGTTTGGCAGAAATCCCTCCAGATTTGTAAAAATTTCGGAATTCCAAAACTGCACAGCCACGACTGCGGCAGTGTGACATTGTTATTCATAATTAGCAATAGAAAACAAATTGTCTATGGTTGTCTTTTCGGCAGATCTAAGTGTTGGGATAAAATCCCAAATAATAATGGTGGGTCTGGTGTTGAAATATTGAATGTAATCAAAGTAGAGAGTAATGTGGAAATCATCTGCCCCACAGGTAGGGGGAGGATGTGGGATGGGGGGGTATACTGGGGGTTTTGGTGGTGGAAAATGGGCACTGGTGAAGGAACTGGTGTTTCATCTTTGTATGACCGAGATTTAAACCCGAAAGCTTTGTAACTGCTCTCATGGTGATTCAATAAATTTATAAAAAAGAAAAAAAAAGGTGGAGTTCATGCCCAATTCAATCAGCCTAATCAATTAGCAATACTGAATAGAAATACTCCTACATTAAAAAAAAAAAGACTAGAGCAGGTGAATGGAAAAACTGGTATGTGCATTAAATATTAAAAAGACTAGAGATCAGTGGGAATGGTATGAAAGAAGCACCCACATTGACTGTTGGTGGGACTACCTCATTCAGGCTCAATGAAGAACAATATAGAGATTTCTCAAATAATTATAGCCAGCCATTCCACTGCTTAGGCTTTTTTTTCCAAGCACAGAAAAGACTGATTTGGGAAGATACACACACATCTACTTAAAATAATGAAGATCTGCAAACAACCCCAATGCTCAGTGACAGATGAACGGCTACAGAAACTGTGGTATACATGAAATATTACCATACTATCGAGGAGATCTTGTCTTTTGCTATGACTTGGATGGAACTACAGGTATCAATTAAGTGAAGTAGGGCAGGAGGGAGAAGGCTAAATGCTGAATGATCTTATTCATATGTGGTCCACAAAACCTAAATTAAGGTAGTAGAACGAGTACCTTGGTGGAGATGTGTTGAAATGATGTATGCATGAAACTACCATTGATAATATTGTAAATTTAAGAAATGATGTTGAAATACATATAGGGCGCACCCAATGATACTCAGGGGTTACTCCTCACTCTGCACTCAGGAGTTACTCCTGGTGGTGCTTGGGACCATATGGGATGCCAGGGATTGAACCCAGGTCAGCTGCATGCAAGGCAAATGCCCTACCCACTGTACTATTGCTTTGGCTCCAGGGAAAATGTTTTTAATCCAATAGTTTAGTTTTTTCCCCCCTTTTGGGTCACACCCAGCAATGCTCAGGAATTACTCCTGGTGGTGCTTGGGGGACCATATGGAATGTCAGGGATCGAACCCAGGTCAGCTGTGTGCAAGGCAAACACCTTACCCGCTGTATTATCGCTCCAGCCCAAGTTTTGTTTTTTATAAGAATGTTCAAATGAAGCTTACTGTACCCTAATTATACCCAGTTTAGATAAAAAAACAAAAGACACCATCAAGTTATGCAAGATGACCATAATTAGGTTCACATTTTTATTTGAAATTCAGGTTTAAAATTCAACAGTTTAATACAATGTTATATTAAATATTTTCTAGCCAGTACTTTCACCTGCTTTACATGATGTCTGGATATGTTTTCAGAATTGATAATTTTTGCCTAACTTGCATGATATGCCAGTTATACACTAACATCTCAGATACTTCCTTAAAACTATTCTTGTAGTAATGTCAGAATTTTAAAAAATAAGCTCAAATATCAAAATTGTAAGACAATAATATTTTAGTCACTTTAATATAGAAAAAAAATCTTGCGCATTTTACTGTTTAAAATTATTAACATTTATTATAGTAAATCAATATGGATTTTTAATGTAGCTATATGAATTTTTCATTAAAATGTCCAACAACTTCTTACTGAGGCATGTCTAAATTTATAAAAATCTTCTTTACATAACCTATACCGAACAAATCCAAAAGTAATTGTGGCACTTTAGAGAAGACATTTATGCCTTTGCATATTTTAAGTTGCTGAAGTATACGTATAGTCTGATATCACAGGTTAGTAGAAAGAATAAAAACCAAGGCTTCAAGGCGTGAGTCGTTTTGGATCACGGGGAAACATTGAGGTTTGACGAACATTATGTAGTCCCAAAAACAGCATGGTTACTCGTTCCAATCCTAGGAAAACCAAAACAATGATTAAGTTTTGTTTGATTTTGGGCCATACCTCACGGTGGCTCAGGGCTTACTCCTGACTCTGGACTTGGGGATCATTCCTGAAGATGCTTGGAGGACCATACTGGGGATCACACCTGTGTCAGCTGTGTGCAAGAAGCAACTTACCTGCTGTACTAGTTCTCTGGCCTCTCAAAAAATTTTCGTTTTAATAGCAGATTTTAAATTATCTCTTATTTTGGTGTTTGGACCACACCAGGAGGTGCTTGTGGGCTACTACTACTGGCTAAGTTTTTGGGGGTTGTCTGCTGAAAACATCAGGTGACACGGATTGAACACGGGCCTCTGGCATGCAAAGCATGAGCTACAGTACTGAGCAATACTCCTGACTCTATAAAATTTTGAATCTTAAAGGAGTATGTTTAACTTAGCAAAACTTTTCCATGGATGGGCTGGAGAGATAGTGCAGTACAGTGGGTAAGGTGCTTGCTCTGCATTGTTTTGATCCTGCCTCTGTCTCTGGTTCTCTGAGCAGAGCCACGGGTGATCCCTGAGCATAAGCCAAGAGTAGGCCATGAGGATGATCACATGTGCCCTCCAAACAAACAAAAAGCCATCCACAGAACCTGGTAATATAATAACATAAATTAACCCCCAAAACCTTACCATATCCCTTTTTCCACTTAAATATTAACCACCCAAAAAATGATGTAGTTTTCAGAACTACTCTGGTATTCTGGTATTCTTTTTCACAATTGTCAGTCACAAGTCTGTACCATTAATTGTACCATTTAATTACATTAAATGCCCAAAAACTATAAGAAAAAAATAGTCCTATGCTTCTCATTAAAACTTAACTACAAATTTAATATAGCATTGTCTGTAATATAAAAAACGTGGTTGAAAAAACAAAAAACCAAAACTAATCCTACATGTGTTATCAACAGAAAGCTGGTAAACAAGACTGCAGTGAACTGCTTTTGCAATGGATTCTGTGTAGGGGTAAAAGAACAAAAAAGCTTAGTATATAAACCCAATTGCTAATTGGTACGTACATAAACCCAATTAGCAAGAGTAGATCCAACGAAAGCAACAAATAAAAACTTCAACAAAGTCATACATTTAGGGGCCAGAGAGATAGTACAGTGGGCAAGGTGCTTGCTGTGCATGTGGCAGACCCATGTCCAGGCACCGTATGACCCCCTAAGTCTGTCAGGAGTGATTCCAGAGCACAGAGCCAGGAAAAACCCCTATACAAGTTTATTTTTTTATTTTTTATTTCTTAGGCTTTTTGGGTCCCACCCAGCGATGCTCAGGGGTTACTCCTGGCTTTGCACTCTGGAATTACTCCTGGCGGTGCTTGGGGGACCATATGGGATGCCGGAAATCGAACACATCGGCCATGTGTGGGGCAAATGCCCTACCTGCTGTACTATCACTCTGGTCCCTTCCCCTATACAAGTTTAAAGACATATGGACACCTGAAAGTTCGGTTATTATCTCAAACATCTTTAGAATAATAATAATAAAAAAACAGTGAAATGTTACATTTCAACAAAAAGCATTTGGTAGCAATGTGAGTTAACTGGAGAGAAAACTTTAATTTAGGCTAACCAATAAACTCAAGGATGCAGAGAAGAAGAATATTCATTCAATTTGTAAGACATTTTGCTTCTTAAAAAGAATGGCTAGAGTTTGAATGGGATAGTTAAAACGACATAAATCATGGTTAACTTTGTTCCATGGAATTCCATTTTTTAAATCCATTGCAACTCACTTTGAGAAATCACTGTAGGGTCAGGATAGCCCAGTCGGCTGAGCACATGCTGTGCACGTAGAAGGCATGGCTTTGGCCCTTGACAGTGCCAGGAGTGATGCCTAGCACAAAACTGAGAGTACCCCTTGAAGCCCCCCACCCTCTGCAAAAAAAAAATCTTTCAAATCCAGTGTGTATTATATTTAGCATTTATGAAATAATTTGTATAAGAAATAATAATAATACATGGGGCTGGAGAGATGCACCTACCAAAAACTAGATGGTCCTGCAAGCCCCACCAGGAATGATCCCTGAATCCAGAGCTGAAGTATGCCCCTGAGTATAGTGAGGTGTGGCGTGTGCACAAGCAAACACACACACACACACACACACACACACACGAAATAATACATAAAATGTACTTTATGGATTCTAGTGGTTAAGAAAAAATAGCTAGAATTTCACTGAATACTTCGCCAAATGAAATCTGTATTGGAAACATTTTCACAACATTGAGGAAATATTTACCAATGCCTCCACCAGCATGAGGAGGGGCCCCAAAACGGAAGGAATCAATGTATGCCTTAATCTTCTCCAAATCTACAAAAAAGAGAGCAAATTTTATCATATAAAGTTATTAATTTATTACTCAAGAGATGAAAATAGATGCACATTCTTTAAAAAGTTTAATATATGTTGAATTCAGAATGCACATAACCCGCTTAAGTATATTTAAGCTGTTTACCAATTCCATGATGTAACGCTCTCTCTGTTAGCAGCTGAGGATCATGTATTCTTTGAGCTCCTGAGAGTATTTCTTCTCCTCTCATGAACATATCGTAAGAGTTGGATTGTTTCTGCAGGGAAAACAAAAGCTTACCACTTTTTAAGTGAGGATCATCCTATTTCCATTACATCTATTTGGGAGTTGGGGTGGGGGTTGGAAGGGTGTCTCTGGCATGAAGAGCAAGTCAGTTTCTTCCTGCAGCTAACGATGCATCTGCTCTAATAAACGTAATTTGTTCCACTGAAAGAGGATTAAACTAGTGAGGGTTGAATAATAATGTCTTCCTTGCCTTTCAGATTCCAGGTCCCCTTCTGCCACACCTTCCAATAACATATCAGAATTATCTTACCTTTTTATTTTGCCATTGGGTCTGTACTCACAAATCACTCCTGGCAGAGCTCAGGGACTGAACCCAGGTCAGCCATTTGCAAGGCAAGCACCCTACTCCTTGTACTCTTTCCAGCCCTTATCTATTTTTTAAGTAGTGCTCTTACTTCTGAACAAATCATTTTATACTTTTGTAATGTCTTCAAATTACAATGAACTTCAAATTACAAATACATTAGCCTGTTTTATAAATCCGTAAAAGGGCTTTTCTATTTCAAGAGAGGTAACTTGAACCTCAACTCACCATGGGTTAAATTATCCTCTATCATGTTTTAACCTGTTTTCCTTATCATTCAACATTCAATAAACTAATGGTTCTCAAAATGTGACTTCTGGACCAGTTTGTTTATTAATTACCATTTGTCAGAAAAGTAAATTTTCAAATCTCAGCCCAGAAGCACCGTAGCACCATAGCACTGTCCTCCCGCTGTTCATCAATTTGCTCAAGCAGGCCCAGTAATGTCTCTATTGTGAGACTTGTTACTGTGTTTGGCATATTAAATATGTCACGGGTAGCTTGCCAGGCTTTACCGTGCAGGCGAGATACTATCGACATCATGCTGGGCTGAGAGGGGCAGAGGAATCGAACCCAGCACGGCCGGGCTGGCCGCAAGCAAGGCAAACACCCCACCGCTGTGCTATCACTCCAGCCCTGCTAGCGCTCCAGTCCAGAAGATAGGTAATTAATGGGATTTAGCAATTTAAGTTTTAAAAAGCCCGCACTTGATTCTACTGAGGTTTGGGAACCACTGTAATGGAAAAACAGCAAAAAGGAAACACTATCTTAACTCCTAGACAAACTGAAATCCAAGTTCAAGATAGATGATTTACTTAAGCCTGTAAATCCAGAGAATTACTTATTTATACTTTGTTTCTTCTTCAGAAATCGTCAAATGAGCCATGAAAATAAATTTTAAGGCAAGGTTTTGGGATTAGTTTCCTAGAATATTCAAATTTCACAATATTACATTTATTTGTTTGGTTTTTAGGGCACACCGGGCAGTATACATGGTGCTGGGGATCGAACCTGGGTCAGTCATGGCAAGACAAAGCATCCTATCCACTGTACTATCACTCCAGCCCCTTTTGTTTTTGGGTCAGACTTGGCAATGTTCAGGGCTTACTACTCCTGGCTCTCCATTCAGGGATCAGTCTTGGCAGAGCACAACATTTGTGGTGTTGGGTGATCAAATCCCGGTTAGTCATGTGCAAGGAAAGTGCTCTACCCACTGTACTATCTCTCTAAGTTCCCACAATATAATATTTTATCTAAATTTACAGAAACTAATAATATACAAATGGAAAAATAAAGAATAAATTACTAATGAAAACCATTACTTTCACTGCACAATTTGACATAGTAACAATACACTTTCCTTCTTCTGCACGGTCTTCCCATTGCTCATCTATTTGCTTGAGCGGGCACCAGTAACATCCCCATTGTGAGACCTGTTGTTACTGTTTTGGGCATGTCAAATATGCCACAGGTAGCTTGCCAGGCTCTGCCGTGCGGGCGGGATACTCTTGGTAGCTTGCCAGGCTCTCCGAGAGGGACAGAGGAATCAAACCCGGGTTGGCCGCATGCAAGACAAACACCCGACCCACTGTGCTATTGCTCCAGCCCTTCCTTCTTCATCAATACAAATTATTTAAAATCAATTTACTTACAGGATTTCTTGGGTCAGGCATAGTATAGAAAGGTCTTACAGCCAATGGATATTTATCAAGGACAAAGAAATCTGTATCATACTATAAAAAGAATAAATACAATTAAAATGTTTCAAAAATTTTAATAAAAGAAGTCTAACATTTTGATAACTGTCTTTTTCTATATATTATCTGTATTCTTCAAAATTTCTGTAACACTCTATGTACACACACAAAGTAGGTTAAGATTTTGGCGATTATCTTTAAGACTTTATATTTAATATTTATTTTATATTTAAGATTTATTCTTGGTGCGGGGCCCACCCTAAAGCAGTATTCATGGGGCTTGGGTTCAACTCCTGGTAACACCAACCAAGCCAGAGGTCCAATGCTTAGCTTACTGATTCAGTGCTGCTCAAACCTAGTAGTGCTGGGGTTGAGCAGGGTCACCCTGGTCCTGGTGCTGGTGTTGTCGAGCCTGACTTTGGTCCCTGTGCATATACGGCATGTGGCCGTGACCATGGAGCCCTAACCTCTTTCAGATATTTTTAGTAACTATTCTGGTTAAATTATCCCAAATTTTGTTGGGCTTTATGGAAACCATTATTTTGTATTTTGGGAAAAAATAATATTTAAAAAATAGTGTCACAAAACCTTATTTCCCAAGTCAAAGGTTTTCATTCAGTTTTTCATTTAGACATCAAAATTTGGTAGATTTCTTCAAATGAAATCTACAACTGAAATAAGTAAAATTAAACATTAAATAATGTTGTTAGAATACTTGCTATATGACCTCTAATGGGAAAGAAATCAATTACATCGTGCCTGTTTGGATATTAAACATTTTTGCTAAAATTATAGAGCAGAATGAATGTCCACATAACTGACAAATGAAACCGGCTCTGCCGAAATGGCGATTTTTAAGTTAAATTCCTACTGTGCAGTTTTGAACTACTAGTTCTCCAGCTTATCAGTTTGGAATACAGCCAGCAGGAGGAGCTCAAGAACTATTTTCATTTCATTACAGAATTCTGTATTTCCGTAAAGACCACCCCAGGTTTTATTTTCTTTAGATAATTAGAAAATGAGACAGTAAAGCAGTTCTCCTTCAGTTACCCTTGAGTCCCATGAGAGAGCAGGAGTATAAGGGAAAGTCCATTTCCAAGGTACTCCATAACACCTAGAGTTCCTTTCTAAATAAATCTATCAGATACAGATAACAGGTAACAACTTTGAGAAATAACCTTCCACAAAACTTACTATACATAGAGTTGATCAAACAAGCTGAACTAAATACTGAGAGCTGATCAAACAATTTGAGCAAATCCTGACTAGATTTTCTGGCCCCTCACACCCTCGCCCCCGGGCCCCAGCCTCCACCTGGCCATACCTGGCTGTGCTCAGGAGACCATATGGGGTATCAGGGATTGAAGGCCCCATATGGTTAATAAACAATACATTAAATAATTTACTATTAAAACCATTTTTATTATTTTCCCAACAAAAAAATACTCTTTGTTTCTATTAGAAACAATTTGTTTCTATAGAACCAGATCATTCTAGGAAAATTTTGAATGTCCTTCTGCAATGTTTTGTAGAATGTTTCAGATGTAAAGAAAACTGGCACTTAAGAGAGTTCTTCCTACCTTTTCCTTTACCAAACGACCCAACAGCTTCTCATTCGGTGTGCTGAAAAAGAGATGTTAAATCATATGTTTGAGGATCTAACAACAGGAGTTCTAAATTAATAAGATACTTCTCCTATTAAAAGTTATCAAAGGTTAAAAAATTTGATAAAATATAGTTGTCTACTCTGCCCTTTTAAGAAAGGGAAGTATTTCTAAAAATCACTATGAATGTATTCGATATAGTCACTTAAGATATATAGGGGGCCACTCAATTATAACACACATGCACAATTATATATTTTTAAGACTATAAAATAGACCCACACACATACACATAGAAGTTTAAACACTGGTTATTTTTGTCATTAAATTGTTCCACCTCAAAATTATTTCTTCTTTTTGCTTTTTTTTAAATCAAAGATTTATAATACAAGACTGAGTATTTCTTGGTGTCTAAAATGTAATCATGAAGCAGGGGAGACAGCTCGAGGGGCTAGTGCATATACGCTGGTTGGGAGAGGTCTCAGGCATCTTCCACAATGTACTCCAGCATCTTCCACAATCACCCCCAAACCAAAGGGGAAAAAAGAAAAATATTTGTGTTTATATACATGAACAAAATCCCTATAGCCAAGTGGCTGCTGCTTTTAAGAACAAAGACTGTATTGTTTTTCTTTTCTGAGATAGTTAAAAAAAAAGCTTTCAGTAAAATATTTTTTCGAACAGCCCTAAAAACCAACAATAATCAGTTATTTTCTTAAATATTTAACTTGAAATTCCTTAATTAGAGTAATTTCTAGTCTTTATTAAACTGTACGATTTACTTTAACTGTAAGTTGTATAATTTCAATTTAGATATCATACTACATATCATGGGCTGGAGCGATAGTACAGCGGTAGGGCGTTTGCCTTGCACGCCGCCAACATGGCCGACCCGAGTTCGATTCCTCCGCCCGTCTCGGAGAGCCCGGCAAGCTACCGAGAGTATCTCGCCCGCACGGCAGAGCCTGGCAAGCTCCCCGTGACGTATTCGATATGCCAGACACAGTAACAAAAAAGTCTCCAATGGAGACATTACTGGGCCAGCTCGAGAAAATGATGAATGGGATGACAGTGACAGTGACTACATATCACAAAAATAACATGAATTTTATAAGTTGAAGAAAGCCTAACAATTTTATGCCCTAATTCTATGGGGGCAGTGATTATACTCCTGTATGCTTTCTGTAAAATTACTAAAAGACAAAAATCACCAGCAAAGTCCTATATATTTTATCAGTACAAATTAGAAGAAAGGGGAGTACAAAAAATGGTAATGACATATATATATAAAAAAAACACACTGTGGTTTACATTAAATATACATTCTATTTCAGGTCATACAAAAAATCAGACTTTTAACAAAATGAAACTTAAATTTTGTCAACATAATTAACTGATATATTCATTCTTTTATACTCTAAGGCCAATTACTAATGTTTTTAAAAAAAATCACAGACAAACCTGAGATCTTCTTCATCTCCCATTTCAATCCCAGCTTCTCTAAGCATAGCCAATGCTTCACAATACTCCAGTCTTAAAGTTGGCTCCAAAAATTTGAATGGCTCACACGGGAACTGTTTATTCACTGTTTGGATTTCAGTTTGAAACCTATTTGTACAATGAGTTAGGTAATAAAAACTTGTGAAATAAATGAGTTCTCCACAAGAGGTCACTATGACAATAACATGAAATCATTCTTCAATTCCTATGTGTACCAGGAAAGAGCTATTAAGAAATTAGTGCTATCAAGAAATCAAGTTTAAGAATGAGACTTAAATCCTTAAAATATTTAATACCATTTCTCGGTCTCATGATGTCTGTCACTGCTGCGGCTTTAAAGAATTAAAGACTTTATAACTTCCAACAATTAACAATTAGGTATGATGAGCTACATCTTGTGAGGCATTTTAAAAAATCTAACCTTTTAAGAACACTATTGTAAGAAAAACGAAATTAATAAATACTTGTCTTTTAATTCTTCCATTTCAAGTTTTTTTAGGAGACTGACAATTTATTTCCCAATGGAATAATCACTATAGGACAGTGCCTACCCTCTAAACAGTAGGCACAAAGCCCGTAACTGTTGCAGTGAAGGATAATCATGTAAAAGTTGCAAAAGCAGGGGCCGGAGCAATAGTACAGCAGGTGAGACTCTTGTCTTGCACACAGGTGACCCGTATTTGATGCCTGGCATCCCATGTGGTCCTGTGAGTACTGCCAGGAGTGATTCCCGACAGCAGAGCTGGGAGTAAGCCCACAGAACTGCTGGGTGTGGCCCAAATGTGTCCACGTACACAAAGACACAGACACACACAAACACAAATGAACTATATTATTTAAAATATATTTATGTAATATGAAAACAGTATAAAACACTGTCACTTTCTCATTGGTCTTAAAAGACTTTAACGAAAGGAATAATGTTTAGTTTTAATCGTATCAGAAGGGTTAGAAGACCCCAACAACAAATTTGTTCGGTTTGGGGCCATAACTAGCCGTTCTCAGGGAGCACTCCTGGTGGAACTTGGGGGACCAAACGGGGTGCCAGATTCCAATCTGGGCTGGCCATGTGCAATGCAAGTGCTCTTCCTGCAGTACTATCTCTTCTGACCCACCAATAAGATATCAAATGGATTTTGTTTGCTTTGGCTATAAACCCGTATTCAATGTCTATCAATAGTTAATACAAAAATGTAATCCAGTATTTAAAGATGTTAGCATATTCTTCTACTAGATAAATACTAATAATAAACATGAGAGGGACACTTCACAAACCAGGTGAATAATTTGGGAATTCAGAATTACTATAGGACCGACAGGATATAGAAAGAAGGGTTTTATGTTCAAGTGTCAGCCTGAAAATCTAGTGATAATGATGTCTGAGTCTCAAATTTTTGTTTTTTTTTTGCTTTTGGGTTGTACTCTGCTGTGCTGGGGTAACATGCTGTTGGACAAGAACCCTGGGTCTCATACCTAGGCAAGTACTCTATCACCAACCCACATCCCTGGTCTCCAAGCCTATCGTTTATAAATAAAAATTTGATTAATCTCAACAGTTTGTGATTACTGTTTGATCTGCTAGTATAAAAACACTAATTTTTTTATATATTAGTATTAGGTAAGTAATTAATACCTAAAATGAATGTTTTTTTTTTTTGGTGGGAGAGAGGGGTGCCGGGCCACATGGCTCTGTGCTTAGGAGATTACTCCTGGCTCTGTGCTTAGGAGATTACTCTGGTGGTGCTTGGGTATACCTTAGAAACAATGCAAGAAGAGCCTTATCTACTGTGCTCTCTCTGCCCTTGAATGTGCTTTCCAAAGAGTTCTCTACATCTAAGTCATCAAACAGTGTAACACAATGCAGAGAATGGCTCCAAAATATTGGTACTTTAGGTAAGGGTTTTGTTGTTTTTGGGCCACACAGGGCCAATACTCAGAGGTTACTCCTGGCTCTGCACTCAGGAATCATTCCTGGAGGTGCTCTGGGGAACTCAGCGGATGCCAGGATTAAACCGGGGTTACTGTGTGCAAGGCAAGCGCTTTATCTGCTAAAGTATCTCTCCAGTCCCCACTATTCTGTATGATACACAATTTATGTCTGTATTCTTGAAATAACTTGTTAAATTTGCAAAGGAATAAATAATATTTTTCTAACTCTTTTTAAGTATATGTCTAAAATACATCAATGATTAATAGTTAAATCCGTGGTCTTCAAATAATAACTTAAAACAGCTTATACTCATTACCTAAAATATAGTTAAGTATGGAGGAAGGGAGGAAAAAAACACCTTTGATTCTACTTACTTTACATTTTTATTTTCCTATTTTCTCCACGTTACACATTAGCACACGTATATTAATTTTGAATGACCCTTTGGAAGAAACTATTTGCTAGGCAAAATTTAAAAAATTATAAAAATTGCTGAACATTAGGAAACGTCTAATAATTTTTGGTAAAGGCTGTTAATTCACTGGGTCCAAGTAAGTTAAAAGTTTCTTCAGAAGTACTAGTCTGCAATCTTTGTGAAATATCTGTGTAACTATATGTTGATACAAGAACTAACACAGGCTTAATTCACATAGCTGCAAGAAAGGTTAGAAACTAATAGGCTTAAGGGTCTTTTTATCTCTAAAGTTAAGTTACAATAATATCCTTATTAAATAAATGAGGAGGGGTTGGAGAGATAGTCGAGTGCGTAGGGTGCTTGCCTCGCACATGGCTGCCCTAGGTTTGACCCCTCACATGGCCAAGAGAGATCCCTGAGTGCAGAGCCAGGAGTAATCTCTGATCATCGCCAGGTGTGATCCAAAATTAAAACAGACAAGCAAATAAAAAAATCAAACAGATGAAGAAACTGAGGCAGAGAGTTAAAGAACGTGCACAAGGCCTATAGATAGGTAAGCAGAGCTGGAACCTGACCAAATGGTGCCCAGTATGGTCTCCTGAGCACCACTTGTGTGATCCTGAGTGCAGAGCTAGGAGTAGGAAGCTCTGAGCACTGTCAGGTGTGACCCAAAACACAGAAACAAAAAAATCCACCACAAAACTTAGTTCACAGCTTGCAATTCAAGAACTGCTTCATTTTTAAAGAACCCCAACTAACTTGAAATTAAGATCACCCAGGAGTATAATATAAACATATGCATATATATGTATATATATTTACCTTTCTTGAAGTCCTTTGAATATCTGTACTAAGGTATCAGTAATTTCTTCTATAACTTCATGGTAATGGTAATTAAAAGCCATTTCAATGTCCAAACCAACAAATTCAGTCAAATGTCTATGGGTATTAGAGTCTTCAGCTCTAAATACTGTGAAGTTAATAAACAAAATTTGATAATATTTAATGGGGTTAAATTTTTTGGATAAATTGGATTTTAAATGCTGGATCCTATACAGTACTACACTCAAATGGTATTAATTTCATTATTATTCTATCGTAGTAAGTCACCTGTTTCAATATTCTCTTGAATGGCAAGATGATTATAAACTTTCATAGTCACGTAGTAAAACCTGTAACAAATGTAAATTAATAAACGAGGCACTCAAGTACCCTGAGGGAATTCAAGATTCTGAAGTGCCTTTTCAGTAATTAAAAATAGATTCAATATAGTGAGTTCTCAATTTTATTAAAACTCGATTCAAGCTAAATGAAATCTGTACAAATGAAGTAACATTATACATATATTCTCACTATTATTTCAATACTGCTCTTATTATCTTCACTGCACTCCCCCCAACTCCAGTCTCTCTGACTAGCTCTGCTCCATTTTTCAAATCAATGCAAGATTAACATTTTTATAACACATCCTTGGCTCAGAAACTTGCAAAGGTTCCCTAATGACTACTATAATACATAAAATGACAAAAAAGTTCAAAAACTTTAATGCTTTCATAATTTAATCCTACCTTATATTTCCCATTTATTTCCCCAATGCTTCTTAATATTACAGCTCTCCCAAAGTCCATGTTTTCTACTCATCTTTTCATCAGCATGCATCTCTACTTATCCACATCTCCTACTTACAAAGTTCATTTCAGTTAGAATTTTCTTTATGGTAACTAGCAAATTCCATCTTCTTTCTCTTTCTGCATACTCTCTATACACTATAGTTAACACCAATCTACAAATAATCATACAGCAATATGATTATTTGTTTTGAAAATCTAAATCGTGTTCTGATAACCGACTGTGACTGCTATATGCATGCATGTCTTATTCTATCAGAGGAAAAGTGACCATGTTTATTTCCTTGTCGCACAAAGCGAAGTCTAAAGTTACATTGGCCAGTAGGTGGAAGTCTATGAGACTACAATCACTCACACCTACTGCTCAGAATTTGTCATTTTTTAAAAATTTTTTTATTTTTAATTTTCTTTGACTTTTTTGGGTCACACCCAAATACTCAGGGGTTACTCCTGGCTTTGCCCTCAGGAATTACTCCTGGCAGGGCTCCAGGGACTATATAGGATGCCGGGGATCAAACCCGGGCTGGCTGTGAGCAAGGCAAACGCCTGACGTGCTGTACTGTTGCTTTGGACCCAGAATTTGCATTTTAAAAAGATCATCAGATGATTTCTGTGCAATTTTCAAATTGACAAATGTTGGTTGAATCTTTCAGGTTCAACGGAACCGGGAATGAGTAACCCCTGCCTCCATTTCCAGCAATGTGGCAGTCACCCCCCACAAGCCACCTCTTGGTCTGATGCCATATAATCTCATCAATGGCCATAATCCAGAGACTTCTTGGAAGAGAGCACAGAACAATATGCCATAGTCCCATGCCTGGCTGTTTCATTCGGGACAACCTGGAGGGGGATGAGTGAGGCCCCCCAACCCCCAAACCGCCCCAAAGAAGCCAGCCTAGACAGTCAAAAATTTCCAGAACTCAACCTCTGTCATGCTAATGACTGCTCTCCACATGCTTGGGTCGAGCCTCACCCATGAGTGCATCTATTCTTGGACATCTTATACACCACTAATATTCCAAGAGTAGCACACTACATTTTATAGGGTTTAAGGTAGAAGGCACCCAATCTTAGGGGAAAAATAGATTTTTATAGATATATATATATACACACACACACACACACACACAAGGCTGAACTTTAACATGTTAGTAATAGAAGGGTTTAATGGCTCCTGGTTGAATATAAGATTCTTCATACACTTTCCTCTAAAGTAACCTTGTTAGGATCATTTTTAGAGGATTATTCATAACAATACAAAATAAATTGTTTTGCTTTGGGGGCTTGGGTTGAGTTTTGGGATGGAAACATCCGAAATATGGTGGTGAAGAGGTATAGTGGTGGTGGGATTGGTGTTCGAAGATTAAATGTAATTAAATATTGTGAACTACTTTATAAAGGGCTGGAGCGATAGCACAGCGGGTATGGCGTTCACCTTACAAGCGGCCAACATGGCCGACCCGAGTTCGATTCCTCTGCCCCTCTCGGAGAGCCCGGCAAGCTACCGAGAGTATTCGATATGCCAGACACAGTAACAACAAAGTCTCCAATGGAGACGTTACTGGGCCCGCTCGAGCAAATCGATGATCAACGGGAGGGCCTTTACCTTTACTTTATAAAAACAAAATTTTAAAAAATCATACTAAAAATATTAGCTGAATCTTCTTATGTACATGGTACCTAGTGCAAGGATATATACGCAGCAAGTAATCAATACATATTTTGTTAATAAATTCAGATACTTAATGCTCTTGCCAGCTTCTCTACTATCAGGTACGTAATTCAACTTCTTCACTTTTGGTCTACAACTGGCAATGGTCAGGGCTTACTCCGGGTTCTATCGCCTGGCAATCACTCCCAGTGAGGTACTTCAGAGACCATATAGGATGCTGGGGATCGATGATAAGTTGGCTGGCTGCATGCAAGGCAAGGGCTCTACCTGATGTACTATCACTCCAGCCCTGTGAGCACATAATTTTTATATTAAGCTACCCAAAATTTGGGCATCAAACTCAGGACCTCCTATGTATGAAAAATGCACTCTACCAACAAGTTATATCCTCAGTCTAACTTGCTAGTTTTTTAAAATTTTTTGGGGCGGTTTGTGTGTGTGTGGGGGGAGAGGGTGGAGGAGGAGCATTTCTTTCAAGATAAAAGGAACTGAATCCAGGGCCTCACACATTTGAGAAGGTTCTTAGTATAAAGCCAGGCTGGTTTTAGTTATTAACTTCATAAAAGAATCTGCCACATGATTATGTGTCTATCTTTTAGACAATGTCTTTCTTGGGAGGTTGGAGGGTGAATCCTAGGTATTGAGATTGAACATAACGCCTTATGAGCTTTATCAGTTACATCCTGATACTTTTGAGAAAATACTTTAAAAAACCTTACCTGGTCCAATGCAGAAAACTTTCTCAAAATCAGCACAAATACACATTTGCTTGTACAGTTGTGGGGACTGAGCCAGGTAAGCGTTATTTTTAAAATATGACACAGTAAATACATTGGCGCCTCCTTCACTGGCAGCTGAAATGAAAACATTATTTAATAATCAGATTTTAGGTTATTAACAAGAACCTCGAATAAATATGAGAATAAATATCTATGAGATATTCCCAAGGGAAAATAAATTTTTTAGCACCCTTTTTAAAGAATGTACAATGCTTATATATATATATATACGTATATATATATATATATATATATATATACGTATATATATATATATATATATATTGAGGGGTATTTTCTAGGAACCAGAGACAATTCACAGGGATACATACATGGGGACCCAGGACTGTGGCCAGTGGTATTGAGGGTGGAGCATGCTGTGCTCAGGATCCAACCTGAATGTGCTCCATACATCTGAATCACATCCCTGACCCCCTAATAGTCCTTCTGTTGGACTCAGAGGTTACTCCTGGCTGGGCACTCAGAAATTTCTGCTGGCGGTGCATGGGGGACCATATGGAATGCTGGGGACTGAACCCTTTTTTAATTTTAAAAGAAAAATTAAATTTTGCTTTTTCCAAGGCAAAAGCTCTACCCACTCCAGCCCCCTAATACTCCTTTTTTGGGCATTAATTTAAAAATCTTGTCAATGGTACTTCGAATTCATAAAAGTTATTTTAAAGATATATTAATACTTTAATACTTTTTCCAATGATTAAAATTATAATTCTCAATTTCTTATTTATAACTAAATGCCATTCATAACATATATTTGCATTATTTCAAAAATGCTAAAAAGTATCAAATAATTAAGGAAAGTTCTCTCTATTTTGTGCTTTTTGGGTCATATCTGGCGATGCACTCAGGAATTACGCCAGGTAGTAATTGGGGGACCATATGGGATGCTGGGTATCAAACCTGGGGTTGGCTGCATATAAGGCGTACAAGCTATAGCTCTACCCATTGTGCTATAGCTCCACTCAAGGCAAGTTCTTGACACCAATTTAGAAAGAAAACTACAAAAAGAATTCCTTGTACAGCTTTTAAACATTAACCGTTCTCAGACTCCTGAAATAAAATGCCGTATTATTGATGTCAGTGACACATAAATATTATGAAGTTGAGTGCTCTTCAAATTAGTTTGTATGTGTGTGTGTGTGGTACCAGGAATTAAGCCCAAGGTTGAACACCTGCTAAGCATGTAATTCCACCACTGAAGTATACATCCATAGCCTTCAAATTAAATAGTCTCGTGGCCAATAAACCTTAACAGAACAATGGAATTAGATTTGCTTGTTTGGTTTTGGGGCCACACCCAGTAATGCTCAGGGGTTCCTCCTGATTCTGCTCTCAGGAATTACTATGCACAATGTTTCGGGGAGCATATGGGATGCAGGGATGGTGACCAAATTTGGTTGGTCGCAAGTCCCCACCCATGATACTATCGCTTAGGCCCCCATAATTACATAATCGAAAAGAATTAGTCTTTACCAATTAGGAGGAAAGAAGATTTATTTTTTAGAACTGAGAAATAATTTAAAGCATACCTGAAATAATTTTTGGAGTCTGGATTTCCACAAAACCCTTGTTAACTAAAGTTTCCCGGAAAAGATGGCAGATTCCAGATTGAAGACGAAAGACTGCTTGACTAGTTGATGTCTATAAAACAATAATAAAACTTAATCAATTTGACATATGAACCGAGATGTAGTATTTTCTTTCTTTCTCTCTTTTAGTGTATGGGAAATTGGAGGCTGGCCAGTGGGAGTCATGTCCCAAGAGACAAACACTTGACCAGTACTATGATCCCAAGTTTACTCTTTGGCTGCCTGATGTTTGTGTGAATAGCGAGATCCGAATGCAGAACACAAACAGACACTGCTACCTGACACAGATGAAAACTATGCACACAATACAGCAGCCATGGCGATGTATTTCTAAGAAAGCCACCTACCTGGAACATTTATATATAAAAAAATTATTATATAAGAGATACATGGTTTAGCTCTATAATAATCTGTTTAAGAATGTTATCCTTGGAGGGGCTGGAGCGATAGCACAGCGGGCAGGGCGTTTGCCTTGCACGCAGCCAACATGGCCGACACAGGTTCGATTCCCAGCATCCCATATGGTCCTCCGAGCACCGCAAGGAGTGATTCCTGAGTGCATGAGCCAGGAGTAATCCCTGAGCATTGCCGGGTGTGACCCAAAAGGAAAAAAAAAAACCAAAAAAAAAAAAAAAAAAAACAAAAAACCAAGAATGTTATCCTTGGGGCTGGAGCAATAGAATAGTGGCAGGGTGTCGGCCTTGCACACAGCTGACCAGGTTCAATCTCCAGCAACCCATATGGTCTCCCGAGCATCACCAGGAGTAGTTCCTGTGTGCAGAGCCAGGTGTAGCACTGAGAATTTCCAGGTGTGACCCACAGAAAAAAAAAAAAAAGCAAAAATGTCATCCTAAAAATGTTTCATATTTATAGAATGACAATTTGCCCTTTACTCCCAACATACCATCTTTTTGCTAATAGCTAAATCTATTGAGTTAAATTAGATAATAGCTTAGATTAGATAAAGTTTTAAACACAAAGCTAATTTAAGGATTTCAAGTTACTTAAGAATTTCAAGTTGTTAATGTCTGCAATGCTTGCGAAGATGTAAAGTTAACACAGGGGTTAAAAACGTTGGCTTTTGGGGGTTGGAGTGATAGCACAACAGGCAGGGCCCCTGCTCTGCACGTGGCAGACCTGGGTTTGATCCCTGGCACCCCATATGGTCTGCTGAGTGCCAACAGGAGTGATTCCCGAATGCAAAGCCGGAGTAAGTCCTAATCATCACTGTTTGACCCCAAAACAAAAACAAAGGGGCTACTAAGGGGCTAACAATGCTACTAAGAGGGGGGGAAAAATAAAGAACACAAAAATATCATGGAGAAGATATTAAGGAGGGAAAAAAAAAAAAAACACCGCTTTTACCATCAACATGAAAGAAGTAAAGTAAAGGCCCTCCCGTTGATCGTCGATTTGCTCGAGCGGGCCCAGTAACGTCTCCATTGGAGACTTTGTTGTTACTGTGTCTGGCATATTGAACACATCACGGGGAGCTTGCCATGCGGGCGAGATACTCTCGGTAGCTTGCCGGGCTCTCCGAGAGGGGCGGAGGAATCGAACTCGGGTTGGCCATGTTGGCTGCGTGCAAGGCAAACGCCCTACCGCTGTGCTATCGCTCCAGCAACATGAAAGAAATGAACTCTAAGTTGCAACCAAATTAGAAAGGAAAGGGAAGCAGATTAATTACCATACAGACCATCAGGATCAATAAACTCTTTATTAATAATTTTGTGCTCAGATCACATTCAAAGGATTGAGGCCCTAGTTAATAAAATTCTAAAACGTCACATATTTCCACAATTTCATAGTGATATGGCTAGTTTTATGTTTACTTGCTGATTAACTTGTCTAAAATAGAAGTCACCTGAAAGCAAGCAAGTCTATTACTGGCTTCATGTTCTTTCTTCATTTTTAAACTAAACTAGGTCATTGTCTTGTGAAGTATTACTTTACTGTTGCCATCTGCAGTTCCTCGTAGGGGAAGGGCCAAACAGAGAAACTGTTTCTTATTTATGAACGTACTTACACATAGGCTGGTGTCAATTAGTTCTATAAGCCTGCGATAGGTTTAAAGTCTCTGCCCACCTTGATTTTGGCACAAGAATATCACTTAATACACGAGACATACCCTAAGATCAATGACTCTGTTATCTAATCTTGTATCCTGGTTAACAGTAGCTCTTCCTTCCTGGAAAAAGAAAATAGATCTTATCAATTATGCAAGAAAACACACAAAAACTTTTGTGTTTACTGGGTGGAGTAGAAATCACTCATCTGAAATTTATTTTTGATAGCTTCTTTTTAACCCCACCACCCCTATCTCGTACCCCTTCCCACAACCCTTTTCTCCTCAGGTTCTATTACTGAAGTACAATAGGCTGTCACAAAAAGCACTTTTAGAAGCTATGTATACTTTTCAATGCAAATAGGTACATTAATATTATACCCCCATATCAGGGACTAACAAAAAAGGAAGCAGGATCAGAAAGGTTGTCAGAGAGATTGGAAAAAAGGAAAATGAGAGTTAACAAGTATCGATACTTTCAATCCCTGTTCCATCCTAATAAGCTTTTCTTCATTTGGGGGACAATCAGCACCTTCACTGAGTCCCAAGTTTTACCTGATAAAGATAAAAAGAACAGACAGAAGCTGACAGAGCTGTGGCTCTCAAAATAGGTTTTAGGCACCAAGAGATCCCCAAGATACTTAATTTCAGAAAGTCAAAAGGTTAAACCTGTACTTCATACAGTATCTTTTCTGGAGCTTTAGAGTTTTTCTGGGTCTTTCCCTAACAAATAACTCACTTTTTCCACTGTTGTCCCCGTGTCCCCCACACCTCACCTCAATCATTAAACTGTACCTCCCCACCCCCTCCCATGTAATCTTCCTCAAAACTGTCTGTCTTAGCAGAGGCTATTTAATATGATGTTTGAAGCCACATGCACAACTCACTCAGTCTTATTTGGTCTCCCCATATTTGCAGGATGCATAGAGATTACTGTTAAACTTTATTTTTTTGTGTTTTCCTATTAAAAATACATTTTCATTCTCATTTTCTCCTAAGTGTACTGAAGAACTTTTCACAGCTTATATGATGTATATTAAGATAACAGAATGCCGAGGCAGACATAAAATCTAGTTTTATCTATCTACCCAGACATCATAAAGGCTTATTAGATATGTGCACAATGTCACACTTTCTATTCTACCTTCTAATACTGCAAATCTCAATAAGCCCTTTGAGAAAAACAAAAGCTGGGATAAGTTATTCTTAACAGTGTAAAGGGATCCTGAGACCAAAAAGGTCTTTGAGACTTATTGATCTAAGAGTAAATTTAAATAAAAATAAAGTTCAAATCAATTCACAGGTCATACAAAGTATTTAATGTTCTGCAAACTAAATACATAAAGGAAGAGTAGTATTTTAAGAGCGTCACTTTCACCTCTTCTCCTTCCACTTCGGGTCTAACAGCATCATCCAGCTGTAGTGGCAGGCGGGGTTCAGCCAAACTAATCACATACATCTAAAACGAGAGATCAAAAACAGCAGGAAGAACAAAACCTGGTATCTTTTGCTGAAACATCAACACCAAAGAACAACCCCCCAAAACTACAGCTGACAAACATGAAACAACATTTGTATACATCTTTAACTAAAATGACTCTGAAGTTAAACAAGATAGTGTAATTTTTAAATCTATAAAATGGGGTAATACTTCCTCTTAACTCCTTGGGTTGATGAGTTGGCATATCACAAATGCTTTGTATACTCTAAGGTACACTGCAAAGTGATAAGTGATTAATATCAAGGGTATAGTCTTAAGGCCTCACTTTCTCATAGATGTTGTTAGACAAATCATTTAATTTCAGAGCATCAAAATTTTACTCTGTAAAAAAGAATTAAATGGAGTAATGTACAGCAAAACAGTTTGCTTATCTGAAGGGGCCATTACTATTTCAAGCATTTGACTATTTCTACCACTAGGACGAAAGTTAGTTCGATTCTGATGTCTTTTTTCTCCCTTTCCCAAATAACCCTTTATTGCTCTCTTTCATCAAACATGTTCTAGTTGGTAGTCAGAGAACATTCCCTTATTTATTCACAGTAATTACATGCTTTAGTGATAAAGCAGTTGGATCTGATAAAGAATGAGTTAGGTTTACTTTGGCTACCCTTAAAACATATTATCCTATTAGTCATTCTGAATGACACTTGGAAAATCTGATAAAGCACTGAAAGGGAAATGGACCTGATTTAACTAATTCAGGAAAGGAAATCATATTCTTCAAGTTGGTAAATCACACTTTGTGTTCAATTCAGAAATAGTTTACGAAAATGTCAAGGATACGCCAGTCTTCCTCTCAGTAAAACAGTTTTTTGCCATTAGCCCCTCTACCCAAATTGTAGCACTTTTCCTTCCTTGATCTCCAACGCAAAGTGGGGGAACTGGAGAACTGGAGAGAAGCCTTTTCTAGTTTGCTTTTTTGGTTTTGGGGCCACGTCTGGCAATGCTCTGGGCTGACTCTTGACTCTCCACTTAGGGATCACTCCCAGCAGTGCTCAGGGCTCCAACCGGGTCAGCCACCTCATGCAAGGTAAGTGCCCTTCTTCTATTTTCTAGCTATTTTGTAAACAGTAGAAATTCATCATCTCCTTCCCTAGTTGGTGAGCACTTCTATCCCCAGAAGTTCACAATCCTTGGCACAAATACACAACTGAGAAACTGCTTAACGAATAAGTCGATGATAATAATGATTCTACTTAGTGTACAATTCCTTATGCTTCGTGAGATTCTTATATAGCTATTTTCCCCCCTTTCCCTTTATCATTTCTGTGATGAATGAGTTTTGCACACCTGATTGCGGTGCTGGATTTTTATTAAAACAAAGTTTTTCTGTAAGCTCTTTCAGCCTTATACTATTCACATTTTTATGCTAGAGAATAAGAATACTTAGTAATACATATGGTACTTGCTCTATTCAATATATTGCTATTTGTGTTAGAATTAAAAAACACATATACTATGCTTAGGTTTGTTTGTCTTTTCTAGGCAACAAACTTCCCAGTGCTCTAGATCTGAAACGAGACTAAGTGACTGGACCACTTAGGCCTGCCTGCCACTGGCAGATGCTAGATAATTTATTTTCTATTGCTTGTTATGAATATCATGAGATGCTGCACAACTGTAAAAGCAGCCGCGCACTCCTGGAATTCTAAAATTTTAATAATTAGGGTCTGGAGACATCTCTTCAGCGAGCTAATCGATTCTGAGATTCATTTGTGAGTCTCTGGATCAAAGCCGTAAATGCACTTAAATGGCACCCAGAGGCAGTTTGTGGTCAGAACCCCCGAGGGGAGGGGCAATGTGGAGGGACGAGGCCATTGGCCTGGAGTCTTCAGTTCCTGGTCCCACGCACCTGGGTTTTTCTTCTGGAAGTTTATGGTCACCGGGGGGTTCATTTGGAATACGCAGAGAGAGAATACCTGCTTCATCTGAGGTGCCCTGGTAAAAATGGCTTGGCACAGGATTGGCTTCTTTAAAAAACTGATCTCAGACTTCTTTTGAAGAGTTCTGTACCTGTCAGTTCCAGGTAAATAAAATCTTAACCCTCAAATCAGTGTATCTGCCCGAGTTGACCTTTCTACATCTGTCATTCTGCCTGACTGCTCTGACCTATCCTCACCCACATGCATATACACATGAGGTGAGGTTGGGGACAGACTGTCGAAGAGAAATTTAAGGACATTGATTATATAAAGAACAAACCAGTCCTTTATCTGAGAAATGCCAAGTTGAAAACTGCAGGATGACTTTTTTCTTTTCTCATTACCTTTCAGCATAGAACTTAGGACCTCGTACTTGCAAAGCCTGCACTCTGCCACTCAGCTGTATCCTGGTCTACTAAGTTGTTTCAACACTAAATGTGCTTTAGAATTTTAAGCACACTATTATAATGATCATGTCTGGCTTATATTCTAAGAAAGCTTTGCGGTATAAATATGTGAAAACAGGTTTTTTGCTGGTTTGCTCTTTGTGGTACTGAGGACTGATATCAGTACCACGTGCAAAGGCAAGCGCTCTACACACTGAGGAACATGCGCCACGAAAAAGTAGGTGATACTGAAATGCAAGGTGAATCTAGTTTTATCCTTGTGACTTCTCTACATCAGAAGTTTCAAAATTACAGGAAAAATAATAACTTAATACAATTAAAAAGAATGCTCACGGCATGACATGATCATCACAGTGAATAATTTTTCGGGTGTGTTTTTCTCAAGTCAGACCATGGTAGACCGGGGGAATTTGGTGTGTGTGTGGGGAAGTACAAGAATTCCTTCCATTGAGAGAAAAAAATTATTTCTCCATCTCTCAGCTCAATTTTGCCATGTAATATACACTGACCAACAGAGTATTTAGCAAATACTGACACAGCAGGAGTCAGAAAACAAGCGCACATGAGGACTTCCAGAAGCAATGCCAACTGGTGTTTCCAAGAGAAGTATCAGTGAGGCCAGTCGATGCCACTGGAGTGAAAAGGGGTTCATATACGCAACTTTCCCAGATGGGCTTCCACTTTTACTGCCAATGCTCACAAGGGGGAGCAAATAAATATTTGTTTAAAATTATGAAGTATAGGGTGGCTTGTTTTATTAAAAAATGAACCGAATTAGCAATTTATAGAATTCTACATTTTATATCAACTCTAATTATTAAGAACAATTGGTGACATAACTATTTGTAAGAAGTACTGAGATCTATTTCTGTGCACCTCCCCATTTTGAAAAAATGTTACCTTTTGAACATGTATCTCTACATCTTGCTGTGTACAGCTTCCAATTTTTTGATTCACTTTTCTTACAACACCTTCCACATCTACGATGCTCTCTTTGTTGATGCTGTCAAAAGAGAAAATTTCCAACTTTAATCATTTCATCAGAGGTGTCAGAAATCATTTGGTGTTTCAACAGTAAAGCTGAATATATTAAATTCCTCTTTAATACCGAAAGCCACTTGAGATAAGCAGTCTGTTTAACCTACTTGCAATTAGCTATTATGAAGCACACCTTGTGAGATTCCTTCAAGAGATGATTTTCTAGAAGCCGTAAGTTAGATACCACTTATAAAATATCCTGGACATAAAAGGCAATGTGACCAGCAGCGAACTGTGAGAATAGAAATAATGTCTTTCAATTATTAAAGAATATTTCCCTCCCTTATAGTGGAAACTTACTGAGATCAGCATTTCCTATAATAAGAAACACCAGCTTCAATAAATGCAATTACTGATATGGAATGGAACGAAATAATAGCAGAAGGTCAAATGAAAAGATTTCAAGGTAGTAAAAGGACATTAGGGTGCTGCAATTACATCTTCACTGCCTACAGTTTCTAAGCACACATCGTCACTGGATTTATGACAGATCGCTTACAGGACTGTGTATGCCTATTTAAGAATGTCTATTTGAAGCTTACTGTACTTTAAGAAGAAAACAATTGCATCTCCTGGGTAGTTCTACAAAAAACCCGAATTCTGAATTCAAGATATTCAAATTCTGAAATAAAAGATAATTCTGGCATAGCTTACTAAACACATGCGTTGGCTATTTATTAATCTCCAGATATACAAACAATGGAGAAAAGATATAGTCCAAAGTAGCAATCCCTGTACCTAATGTAATAGTTTCAGTGGTATTTATCTATTTTTGCGGGGGGAGGGCTAGTCTTGGCTCTTATCACAAGTTACCATGTGGTGCTGGGGATCCAACCCGGGGCCCCAGAACTCAACACATTCACTCCAGCCCTTTGAGCTATCTCCAGAACCATCACCACTCACCTCCCCCGCACCACGTATCGGTTTTACTTCTGTGTATGTTCTTGTACAAGAGATATTTACTGAAAGAATATGATACAATATATTCATAGAAAGGGAAAGACTTAACTTTTAAGTTCTTAAAGTGCTTGCATGGCACCTCATCAAGTCATTAAGACTTACCTCACCACCTCACCTTCCCTCTTCTCCCCCCCCATAATTAGAGCTTTACTCTGTTACATTCCTACTAGGTTCTGGTGTCCTCTTTAATTCTCTTACCCTTTGCTTAATTTTTAACTCCCTATTAGAAAACTTTCCATTTCAAACAGTCCTCTTCAAGGAAACTCTAAACACATTCACTATCATCACTGAGCATCCAAGCCAGTATCCTTCAAGAAAAAAAGATGGAATTTTGTTAGATACTGCCCAAGGCTAGCTAAAGTTTCTTAAATCCAAGTTCTTCCTCAGAAAGTATCAGATGTCCTCTAGTTCCATCCAAGCTGCGGCAAACTTCGAGATTTCATCTATTTTTTTGGCTTGTTTTGGTGTTATACCTGCCAATGCTAAGAGCCTACTTTTGGGTCTGTGCTTAGGGATCACTTTTGGTGGACGTGGGACCATATGGGGTGCAGGAACAGAATCTGGGTTTTCTGTGTGCAAGGAAAGGACCTTACCTACCATACTATCTCTCCAGCCCTCTTCATCTCTATTCTTATAGCACACAGTACTCCATTGTGTATATCGCCGCAGTTTATCTATTCATCTGTCACTGTACATGTAGTTTGTTTCTGTATCTGTGCTATTGCAGCAATGCAATGATCATGGACATGCAATTATCCTTTCAAATTAATGTTTTTGTATTTGGGGGGTAAATGTCAAGAAGTGGAATTACTGGGTCATATGGAAGCTCTCTATTCTTACTCTTTTTGAGAAATCTTTGTACAATTTTCCATAAAGGTTCACATTCCCACCAACAGAGAATAGGGTTTTCTTTTTTCACCCCACCCCCACCAATAGTGATTATTTTCAGTCTTTTTGATAAATGTCATTCTCACTGGTGTGAGATGTTATTTCACTGTTGTTCTGATTTGCATTTCCCTGATATGTTTTGAAGAATGTGTTTTCATATGCCTCCGAGCCATCGATATGTCTTCTTTCAAAGAGTCTGTTCATCTCGTCTTCTTTTGTAGATGGGGTTACTGGTTTCTTTGCTTTTGAGCTTTGTAAGTACTTTACGTATATTGGGTATTGCCCTTTATTTGATATATGGCATGTGAATATCTTCTCCTTATTCAATAGGGTGTTTATTTTATTTTGGCCTCGATTTCCTTTACCATACAAAACCTTTGTCATTGAATGGAACTGTAGTTAAGCAAAATAGGTTAGAAAGAACAGAACAAAGAGCAGATAATCTCATTCATCAGTGATATATGGAGAAACATAAGGGAACAGATCACTGAATAATGAATGACAACAAACCTTTGGCCTTGTGTTGCAAACTGAGATTACCAAGCAGTGACAGAGGGAATAGGAGGAAAAAGAAGTGGACTAGGAGGAACTTAAATTAAGGGTAACGGGCACTGACAGTGTGGCAACAGTACACCAAAACCATAAATGTCAATACTGTAAACTATAATACTTTTTTTTTTTTTTTTGCTTTTTGGGTCACACCTGGAGATGCTCAGGGGTCACTCCTGGCTCTGCACTCAGGAATCATTCCTAGCAGTTCTCAGGGGACCATATGGGATGCTGGGAACTGGACCTGGTCAGCCGCGTGCAAGGCTGTGCTATCGCCCCAGCTCCTAGAATACTTAAAAAAAAAAAAAAAACCCTCTCGATGCATTTTGTTGGGCATTATATTTTGCTCACCTTTCCCCACCACCACTCAGGCCTGCCTCCAGGGACAGATGCTAGATCATTAACTTTCCATTGCTCACTTTGCATATCAGGAAAGGTCTGGAAGAATAGTCCTAGTGCCCACACACTGGAGCCATGCTTGTAGAAACTCATGGTCGCCGGAATTCCATCTGGAGAAGGTGGGGAGACTGCCTTCCTGGGAGGGGAAGGATGTTTGTCCCTCTGCCTTTTCCCCCTGGTGGAAGCGGCCTGGTGGCCAACATCTTTTAGAGCCTAATGGACAGCCAGGTATGATATTGCAGTGACGAGGCATGTAGGGCCTCATGGGATGGGGGGTGGAACCGGCCCTGCTCTCCGCCCCGACAAGGCCCTGAGTTGCCACCCATGAGCGCCTCCTCCAGCTCCTGAAAGACCGTGATCCCAGAGGCACACAAACCAATCTCAGAACCCAGCAGCTTTGGGCAGTAATCCCTCTAGACTTTCATGTGGCCGCAATAGCAGCTGCGCGACATCAATGCTCTTCATAATCAGCAACAGAAAACAAACTATCTAATGATGTCTTTTTGGCAGGTCTGAATGTTGGGGAAAATTCCAAATAATAACGGTGGGTCTTTTTTTGTAATATTGAATGTGATCAATGTAGAGAGAAAGTGGAAATCTGCCACACAGACAGGAGGAGGGTGGCGGGGGGGGTATACTGGGGTTCTTGGTGGTGGAAAATATGCACTGGTGAAGGGATGGGTGTTTGATCATTGTATGGCCGACTGAGACTTAAACCTGAAAACATCACTGGATTGCTGCAATTTCATGGTAATATGTGAATGGATGAGAAAGTGCTTCTTATAAATGAGTAAAGAGAGTTTCTTTTTCTTTTTGGGGGACTGCAAACCTGGTGATGCTCAGGGGCTACTCTTGTCTCTGCACTCAGTAATTATTCTTGGCAGTGCACAAGAGACTATATGGAATGCAAGGGACAGAACTCTGGTTGGCTCACGAAGGCAAGCACTTTACCCACAGTACTATCTCTCCAGTCTGTTTCTTTCAAGAAATTGCCTACATTCTTCACAATCACTACCTGTAGGATAACACTGATTTGTCCTTTCAGCTTTGCCACAGGGAGCTTACTTAGGTTTACTGGGTTACTCCCATCACAGTGCTCCCAGTCCTCTGTGTTTACTTGTAACTTCTCTCAGTGCTCTGTTGACTTGTAAACATTGTTTTTCTCTTCTCCTGAAGTCATTTGCATAGTTAATTCACGGCAATGTCCTTTTTGTATAGACACAGGAAGACAGTTAATGCTATGCTTTTGTAACTTGGGAGTTAACTGACTCTGAATGATAATCACCCCTGGGCATCTGTTCTCTCGACTGAAGCCTCAGTACCTTTATTTCCTAGCACCCCCAAAGCAGGGTCCCGATGAGGGACTGGATGGTCCTAGGGCAAGCTTTGAGCTACCCTGGCATTGAAATGGGCCTGGCCAAAGTGCCATAATACTTAATTATAAGTTAAGAGCATGGTCACGGACCAATTCAGTCACGATCCAAAAAGTAATAACTGGATTAGGACCCTGCTAGGGTTAGGAAAGATTAATTTGGCCTGAGCACTGTAGTCTGAGTCTGTGGTGAGATGTCCCCAGGAGAGCCACCCTATAAGCTTAATGTATCTTTTATTGTGTCCATACAAAATAACTAATATTAAGAAGTAGAATTAAGATGTCAACTGGACTAAGGAGAGGAGAAACAACCCCTAAATGGTATTTTGCCTTTTAGTGGAAGAAGGGCTTTCATATGTTAATTGTGCTGCTGGATGGGGTGTGGTGGCTACCTCTATTGGAGGGAGTTGGCGAGAGACAAGAGAGACCAGGGCAGCAAGATGGAGCATGGAGAGACTAGCAAGGGGGACAGAGGGAGAAGAGTGTAGGGAACAATGCTGGAGCAGGAGCGTGGAGAGATGAGAGATGCGGCTGGCTGCGAGAGGGAGCCAGCGTGGAGAGTGGAGCGGGAGAGACGGGAAAGAGGGGCAGTGTGAGGCTAGAATGGGGAGCTTAGCGAGACTGGAACAGGCGCGTGAATGGAGAACGGAATAAACGGCAACTGATCATCAACCAACCCGGCGGCCTCGTTTTCTCCTTCTTCTGCCCATGGCATTGGCCGACCCAAGGGGGAGTGGCCGAGTCCACTGAATGTGGGCAGCAAGAGGGAGAGCCGCAGGGGGCTTCTCTTAGCCACC